CTTAGATTGTACACAACTCCAGCGGCGCGACGTTATCAAGACGTCCTATTATATATTTATTAAAGAACATATTGTTTATTAATAAAAAATTTTTTACGGCTCAAACATACAGTAAAACACTATTAAACTTTTGAAATCATTCAATTTTATTTCGATTAAAAAAAAATCTTAAAAATCACTGTTTTTTTATTCTTGTAAAGCAGAATCCCCCCTTAATAAACAAGAACAAAATATAATTCCGCAAGTGCGAGGTTTCGCCGGAAAATCGACGCGCGCCACACGGCGGCGCTGCGCTGTCCTATTATATATTTATTTAAAAACATATTGTTTATTAATAAAAAAAATTTTTTACGGCTCAAACATACAGTAAAACACTATTAAACATTTGAAATTATTCCATTTTATTTTGATTTTTAAAAAATTCTTAAAAATCACTGTTTTTTTTAATCTTGTAAAGCAGAATCCCCCCCCCTTAATAAACAAGAACAAAATATAATTCCGCGAGTGCGAGGTTCGCCGGAGAATCGACGCGCGCCACACGGCAGTGTCCTATTATATATTTATTAAAAAACAATTGTTTATTAATAAAAAAAAATTTTTTACGGCTCAAACATACAGTAAAACACTATTAAACTTTTGAAATCATTCAATTTTACTTTGATTTAAAAAAAATTCTTAAAAATCACTGTTTTTTTAGTCTTGTAAAGCAGAATCCCCCCCTAATAAACAAGAACAAAATATAATTCCGCGAGGTTCGCCGGAGAATCGACGCGCGCCGGAGAATCGACACGGCGGCGTCCTATTATATATTTATTAAAAAACATATTGTTTATTAATAAAAAGAATTTTTTTACGGCTAAAACATACAGTAAAACACTATGAAACTTTTGAAATTAAACAATTTTATTTTAATTTTAAAAAAATTCTTAAAAATCACTGTTTTTTTTTAGTCTTGTAAAGCAGAATCCCTCCCTTAATAAACAAGAACAAAATATAATTCCGCGAGTGCGAGGTTTCGCCGGAGAATCGACGCGCGCCACACGGCGGCGCTGCGCCGCGTACACATGACCATATATGACGATTGCGTACGCGCTGTGACATAATGCTTAACCCGTCCGTCGCGACGGTTGTTGTTTTCCCTCCGTATCGTCGACACGCAACGCGACACGACGGTGGTGCATAACTGTATGATCTCGCGCTTGTAGATCTTACGACAATTTTATGTCCTTTCCTTCCCTCCCCTTTCTCTTCCTTCCCCCCCGTTGTTTTCAATTTCGCCCTATCGACCTCGATTATCTCCAGCGAGAATTCGACGATAATAATGCTGTCGAGCGATAATCGAGAGAGGAGATCGCGTTTTTTTTTTTTTTCGACAATGACACGTCAATGACGTGACGATCGGCGAACTTTCGTAGTCCTGTCGGAAAGTCGCGAGTTCCGAAAGTGAAAGGGGACGAGATTCGAGTCCCGAGATCTCTGAAGCGAGAAAAGCGAGACGCGCGCGAAGGTTGACGCGCCTCTCCGCTCCGCGTTGAATCGAACGCACTCACGCGATCAATCGTTATCGTCGGCGAATTTCTACCCTTGTTAAAGTAAAGACCTCGCGGTTCGGCGGCGAGAGAGAGACGAAGTCGATGTTAGTTGAGACCACGATGAAACTTCTTCTTTTTCTTCTTCTTCTTCTAGTCTGTGGATATCTGATGCACGGAATCAAAGTGCCACGGTTCGACGAGACTTACTTGGATGAATTGAATCGTGATCGCCGATTTTCCGACACCGCCCCCGCCCACGACGACGAGCTTGTAGGTCTGCGCGTAGCTCTGCCTGTCAGCCGCTTTCGACATCTTTCTTCTCTCCTACTCTCGCTCTTGCTCTCGCTGGCGCTATTAAACGTTCATCCCGCGTGCGTGTACGATTGACGGCGCCGACACGACGCGAGACGAGAGTCGGAGGCACGACGGGAGAGATCCAGAGACGCAGACGCGATTAACGTGCCCCGCGCGGCGCGGAAAACGGCGAACGACTGTTGGCCACCCACGAGCCGACGAGCGTCACGCCACGGACGGTTTTCGCGCGAATGACGGCAAGTCGCGCCACTCGTCCGAGAAGCGAAACTGCCAGCTAAGGCTTTTGAACGCGTAGACGAGCCGAACGAGGCTCTCGCCAACTTTTTACGGTCCTCCCCCCGCGCGACGTGAGCGACGCGCGTGTTTATGTATGACGTATGCAGGGCTGGGCAAAATACACCATTAAAGTATTTAAAATACAAAATACAAAATACTTGGAATCTTAGTATTTAAATTACAAAATACAAAATACTTTCAATCTTTCGATTTGAAATACAAAATACAAAATACTTTCAATCTTTCGATTTGAAATACAAAATACAAAATACTTTTAAGTTTTTATTTGAAATACAAAATACTTCTTTGAAATACAAAATACTTTTTAATTTAATCTTTCAATA